AGTTTTTCTTCTCCCTATTCTCCTCTCTCCAAGCTCTATCAATCTCCTTCTTCTTCTCAACATTCCTCCCCACCCACCTTTTCCATCTGTCTAAGCACACATTACAAGTCGCATTCTTTTCATTAAACATTCCCAATTCCTTATTACATCCACACTGTCCACACCTTCTCTTCTCCACTTCCTCACCTCCACCCTGAGCATTCTTAATATGCGTATTTGTTTTCTTATGCTTCCCCCATCCACTTTTCCTCACATTGCACTCACACACCTGACAATACACATTCTCAAACTTATCACCTTTCATCTCCTTAGTACCTATTGCTACTATCCCTTTAAGTATTGGTCAGGTGAACATCCCCCATTGGTCTCTCATAGAAGAAATTAGAATAGTAAATATCTAGTTTATAGCATTATATAAATATTTATCTGATCAACTCTTCTGGGATTATGTATAATTCCTTCTGATTAAACAATGTATAGTTTTCAAGTTTTCAGGCCATGTTTCCTTCCTATTGCTAGGTGCCCTTTGTGCTGTTTCCCTATGCCTATTCCCTTCCATTTGTACGCAGTTCTTTTTACATAATGGTTTAGGTGTCCAAGTTTTTATATTTGTCCAAAGTCTGGTGCGTTTTCTGTATGCCATTCCATCTTTACAATAATCAACATCAAAAAACAAAGTTTTTCATAAACTCTTGCTCCTTCAAAAGTCCGGTCTGGGGGGTTTTCAACGAAAACATTTGGATCAAAATAGTTTATTATGTCAATAGCTTTCTTCACTGTTTCATTTGCTTCATCAATTTTTCTAGTGCCTGTTTGTTTTGCTATGATGTATTCAGTGCAAGGCGGGGATGACCAAGTAACATCAAAGTCGTTGTCAAATTTATTATAATCAAATTTCAAAATATCCTCATTGATACTAGCATTTTTAAGATCAAGTGATATAATAGTATAACCAAGTTCTTTAACAATTCTTCCAACACTACCTGTGCCTGAAAATATAGGGGTTCACGAAATGATGGCACAAGTAAAATGGTTGAAATATGCCATCAAAGATTAAAGATTTCAGCGCAAAATTGAGCTTTGACAATAGGAACACTCAAATGACATACCAATACACTGAAGCAATGGCAGGGCCGCTGTGAGAGCGGGGTTCTTTGAGAGTGCTGGGGTTGCATTCACAAAAGAAAAGTAAAAGAGAGGGAGGAAGGCAAGCAGGGAGAGAGGGAGGGAGGGGGAGGAAGGGAATGAGGAAATGACATGCACTAACACAGGAACAGCATACTGAGAGGAGAGGACCATTATATACAACAATGGTAGGTCCGCTGCGAGAGCAGGGCACAAAGCAAAAGGGAAAGAAGAGGCAGGGAGTGAGGAAGGGAGGAGAATGAAATGAATTGAACATAGGAACGCTAAGATGGTACACCACACACAAAGAGAGAGAGAGAGAGGGAGTTACAGAGAGTGAGAGAGTGAGAGTGAGAGTGAGCTAGTCTCATACTAGAATCCAGCAAATGGAATGAAGTCCAAGAGAAGTAACAAAGGAAAGAAACTATACAGACAGGAAAGGACACCCCCAAAAAAACACACATATAATATATATATATATACGTATATAAGATGAGATAAGGCGCCTGCTGCACAGGCTACCTTATTTGATCTTGGTTAAGCCTTTGTTCAGGGAGCCGCGGTGGGAGAGAGAAAGAGAGAGAGAGGAACTAACATAACTAAGGACGTCCTGGAACCCCTGGCAAGTAATTGAGGTATGTCCAAACAGGCTAAAGGGCATGAAAAGAATACTAAATAGAACGGCAAGGATAAAGGCAGTTGAAAGGATGCGAGGAAAGAGTGGTATGCATTGAACATAGGAACGTTAAGATGGCACGTGAGGAAATGATATGCACTAACGCAGGAACAGCATACCGAATGGAGAGGACCATTATATACAACAATGGTAGGTCCGCTGCGAGAGCAGGGCACAAAGCAAAAGGGAAAGAAGAGGCAGGGAGTGAGGAAGGGAAGAAGAATGAAATGAATTGAACATAGGAACGCTAAGATGGCACACTACACACAAAGAGAGAGAGAGAGGGAGTTACAGAGAGTGAGAGAGTGAGAGTGAGAGCGAGCTAGTCTCATACTAGAATCCAGCAAATGGAATGAAGTCCAAGAGAAGGAGCAAAGGAAAGAAACTATACAAACAGGACACCTACAGTGCATGACACTCTTGGGGCTGCTGGATGGAAAAGGTTTTTTGCGGAAACTGAGTTTCTGGTGTGGGAGAACTGGAAAGCGTCGACAGAGAGAGAGAGAGGGAGAGAGAGAGAGAGACCAGCAAACAGAGTACAACACCTTTAAGGCCTGCAACAAACAATAAGATGGCATACCAGCCAAACGGCTCTAGTAGATTACAATGCCGATCCCCCCCAAGCATCAACTGACCACTATGATGGCACACATGGCCCTTTCAGATCCTCGATGTGTTTCATCAAAAAGTGCATATATGCCATGTATTGTCTCGATTCCTGTGTGCCATCAAAGTGTGAACCTGTATAATTGTTATAATTTCATAACAATATGTTGTCATAGAAAATATATTATCATGAGTATGTTTCAGTGTCTTCATCATAATCAATTTTGTAACATTGTATGGTGGTCTCTTTAGGTTGTTTTATTATTTTTGAATTCAACATTTCTAAATACTGCTTCCTTTTGGTTTCAAAGTCCCCTACTGGTCTACCTATGCTTTTCTTTTCAGATGCTTCTCCATTTTCCTTAAATCATTTTTTCTCATTAGTCTTTTCATCAATGGTTTTTAACAACTGTAAGATCAATTTAAGACTATTATTATATCTGTTCATTTTCTTTATCAGCTCATCCATTTTATCAGTATTATCTAAAGTAATAGATCCACCATCATCGTTTGAAACTTTCATAGTCTTATCTTATCACTCTTGCTGATTTTAAAGCTATATGGGTTACACTTACACTTTTTGCCTTTAGTGTTGATTTCAATTTCATTCTCAGTTGTAGTTTTCCCTGGCATAAAGGACAGTCAAAGGTAATGAATTTGCTTGTTAGTTTTTGTTCTTCATCTAGTTTTATTGTTGTTGGTTCTTCATCTGCTAGTTCAAACTCTTCGGGGATTTGTGTTTTATTCATCTTTGTTGTTTTTTTTTGTCTTTTTTGGTGGCATGTATAATATTACATTTTAGATAAGTAATTATCAATTTTGACATTTCCAGTGAGTATTTACAACACTGCTTAAGTTTATTATCTTTAACAACTGGATATTTAGCACTATCATTTTTTTCCATATCATCTCTTCCTGTTATATAAGCATCATGTTCAGATAGCGTCATAATATATAACTATAATTAGATAATGCTTTAACACCATCTAATTATGTAGTGCTTGGGAGAACACTAAAAACGAATTCAACTGTAAGGGCAAAAAATCCATTGCTGAAAAGCAAACTAATTACCGACTTATGCGGATTAGCGTAGCCTCACCTACCGCACTCTGTCCATAGGAGATCTGCTAATATTTAATAATGTTTTCTATGTATGTTTATTAATAGATGAATAATAACACCGCACCACATATTCAACCTATCAAAGAAATCAATTATGAATTCACTCAATCAAAATATGCTGTTGCCTCTAAAGTGCCCTTTAGATCAATCATAACCGGTCCGTCTGGTAGTAGCAAATCAGTGCTACTAACAAACATGAATATGGACACCTACAAGGAAGTTTTTCAAGGGTGTATATCTGGTCACCTTCAATAAATGTTGATAGCATCTGGTTGCCAGTCAAGAAATACATAAAGGAAGAAATGAAAGTGAACACTGGTAAAGAGCAGGTTTTGTTTGAAGACTTTCACAGTGAAGATTTAATGAAAGTCATTGAAACACAACATAGAATAACTGAATACAGTAAAAAAACATAAATAAAAAAAACAATCCTAATAGTCTTGGATGATATAGCAGATGATCCCAAAATAGCAAGATATTCAAACATATTTGATTCCCTTTATGTAAGAGGTAGACACAATGGTATTAGTGTTATAACATCTGTTCACAAATTTAATGCACTGACCACACTGATAAGAGTTAATGCCACACACCTATTCTTCTACAAGGTCAGCAACTTTAAAGAAATAGAACTGTTTCAAAAAGAACTATCAGCAATACCTAGAAGAAAAGAAACAATATCCAAGAAAGTAAGCAGGTCTTATATAAACTTTATGAAATAGCCACTGAACAGCCACATATGTTTTTAGATATTAATCTTCTGGAAAAGGATAGGAACAAGATGTTTATGATCAATTTTTCACACTATTTGCAAATTGATGATTGATAATGTTAATATGATCAATCTTTATACCAATGAAGGAGCACAAATATTATAGCAGGTAGTTTATACATAATCCTATTCGATTTCAGGATGTGAGCAGCTGGGAAGGTTCGTCAAGGGTACACATTCTATCACGAGCGAAATGAACCCCAAAGGTCCCTACCACATATATATATATATATGTGTGTATATTTACTTGCTCATACATTATCCAATGCATGGAAATCAATTGGCTTGGTGGACGAGGGCCTCTTCGCAACAACCGTTTTCTAGATTCCTGTGTTTGATTGCAGACTGGGCAGGTCCAGTAGCAACGGGTCTCATGGCCAGTGAAGAAACAGGTGGCCAGGCTGGCCACTTGAAGCGGGCTCAGAAGAACCACACAATAATGCAGGTCTTTGAAGACTCCGAACTTAGTGCATAAGCATGTAACTTTGCTGTGTTGTCAGAAGCTAAGCAGCAAATTAATGCTGCCATGATAGGATCTCATAAGGGCAATTGACTGCAAACAAAAACTTGGATGTCACTCCCAAGCTTATTATATAACTGCCTGGGGCCTGGGGTGTTAAACCTCACCCGAACTTGCTCAACTTGAAGACCTCGCCTCGTGCTGTTGGACCACTGACCTCCCCCAACCGTCCAAGCAGCAGACAGGCTCGGCTCGCTGTTACTTCGCACTATCGGCGAGTGAGATGGTCGCAAGGTCTCTGGCCTACGGCGAGCGGCAGGAGCATGAGCGCCGAGGGCTTGGCGTCCAGGTTTACGGGGTCACCAAACAAAGGTCAAGGTGTCCGAGAAACTGATGTTATTTTTTACAAGAAGTTCCTCACCAAAAGCTTTGGTGCTCCGCCATCTTCACCGAGCAAATGACAAGGCCCAAAGTGGTTTGGATGAGCCTATTACCAAATGATGATACTGTATCACTGGGCTCATAAGAAGGCCTATTTACACACATCCTTGAGATCACGCATCCACGTCTTTGTCACTTCGCCGCATGTTCCGCACCTCACCAAGTTCTGGCCTTCCAACGGCAGCTCCTCTTGCGTGGCGACCACACCGAAGCCACCCACCGACTTCAAGTTGCCTTCCGACGGGTCGACGCGCGCCCGACAAAAACCGAGCGACTTCTTAGGCCATAGGACCTCTTAGGCTCATGATTGATCTCAAGCCATACTTGATGTTGATGGCAAGCAGTTTGCAAGGACCGCACGTTTGGCCAAGTGCGAGCTAGTCAGTCAAGTGGTTCTCTCTTGTCCACTGAAAGTAAATTCACTTGGTGAAGATCCGTTTTCCAAGCGACTACCACTCTCCAGTGCGGCATGAGCAAACATGGTGGAGCGCACTGCCATGGCTGTTTCTATGACGAAGGACTCAGGCCTCAGAAGATGCCACGTGATGCAACACGAATATGCCCTTTGCTCCTAGTAGCTTCTTGCTCCTATATGGGAGTATGTGGGTGTGTGTCAAAATCTGGACCCCCAAATCATGTAGGTTGGCCTCCCCGGCCAGTCTATTCCTCTTCATTAGGGTGGTCAGCCCAGGTCTCCCGGTTTTGACCCGGCCCACTGCCATATAGTTATATAGTATACATATAGTTGTATAATGTTATACATATACATATGTTAAAACATGTGATGTAAAACCATGTACAGTAAAACCTGATTCGTTGTGGAATAGGTTTAGAGATGTCTCAACTTTTAAGACCAACCAAAACTGTTGCGAAGCATCCCGCCTTTCCGCCTTTGACCTGAATGTCTTCTGCACAACAACGACATCGGTATGGAAGTGCACCCACCCCTCAACCCCCAAGAGGAGCAAGGACGCTACGAACAGGGATTCCAAAGGTGAGAAAGGCAATTTGCTTCTCTTGCCGTGCCCAGGCGCAGGTCGCGTGCACCACGAGCCTCTCCTAGAGGGAGGGTTTGACGTCTGGGCAGGCCTAATCACCTGAAAACTAGCAAACCGAGATGGGCAGGTCCAACCCTTATAGGGATACATGACCCTTATCACAGACCCGTAAGGCAAATTCTCGTGGTGAATTTGGCACTTTGGAGTTCTCGTGCATTGCCGCATGCAGCGCCGCCTTGGCGAGTTGAGGGTACGGTAACACCATCCACACTGTTTGACATCAACAAGAAATGTGATCAAGTCTCTCAAGCGCGCGGCTGTCACATCCTGGTTTTCTTGCAGTGAGTATCGGCATCTTGTTTCAGCCCCAACTTGACTTGTCGATTGCAAGGCATCGGTATGGGTTATCCCATGTTTCCCTTGCCTGCAGGGACAAAGCAGCGATGCATCTGGCACATCGTAGGGATGTCTTCGCTGTGTTTTCCCAACGAATCTGTTCAGCTCTTCCCAGCGAAGAGTCACCATCCACGAGCGCCACTACTCCCGCTAGGGTCTGTCCTTGTCGCCACCGTTGATACATCTCCTTAGACATTGGTATCTTCTGCAGCTGACATACCTAATGGGTGGTTCAGTATGCAGTGTCATGGATAGTGTTGAGATGTGTTGAGTTAGTTCATGTTTGCCTCGGGCCCCATGTCAGCACGAATCTGAGATAGGTTCAAGTCTGTCAGCAAAAAGAAGCTACAAATTCGATCCAGCCCATTTGTTGACCTTGAAACTTGTCTACAGTATATCAATGTCCACAAGTAACTGCGTATGTGCATGCATATACATATGTGTTCACTTTAGATTGACATGTATTGCATCAGTATATATCTAGTCCTTGCTGACACTTGTCATCTCACCCGAGACTGACCGCATTTCCAGCATACTGTGTCCTAGAAGCAAACTTCCTCTTTAGAATTTTAGAATGGAGAGAAAAGATGCAATTCTGGGCTAATTACTGGCTCATTCTTTGAGTTCTTGAATCCGACTGTTGAGTCTGCAAGACTATGGTTTTGAACCTACCTATCTGTCACAAAGCAACAATCACGGGAGGTATGGCTGTAATTGTATGATTGGCAATCTCCTGTTTCCAGGACCTATAAGAAGAATTGCACACCCCACCAACGATTCACTTCATTCCATGTCTCCCGATAGTGGTGGTCGATGGGAAAGATGGCTGGTGGCAACTCCAGGATTGTCACTCGCTGAGATCGTGGACGCTGGGAATCACCTGACGTGGGAACTGGCCATGGAAGTTTGCAGCTCCCTTCAGGTTGCGCCTCCACCAAAATCCCCCAAAGGCTATCCTCAAGTATCCAAAAGCCTGTCTGTTAACTCTTCGTTGGGGTCTGTTTTTAAAAGACACACATGATGCATCGATGGCCGGTTCCCAGCTCCGTCCGCCTTCCACGAAGACCATGACGACGAAGGAAATCAATATCAAAGAACAACCCAAGTCCTCGGAGACCATCGGAAGACATTGGAGACCATCGGGACAGAAGAAATAGAAACAAATATCCAAAGACAACAGCGCCATGCTCAACCAGCCCGCACCAGCAGAAGCTCTGTCATGCACTCATGTTGCCGAAAATTGGGGGAAGTAGTGGCAACTAGTGGCCATAATTCATGTAGGGCGGGAAGGATTTCTTGTGACTTATTTTTACTTAAGATTTACTTAAGCATTTGTTTGGGGATACAAGTACAGTGCCCTGCTTAAGTCTGGTCATACTCTTTGCCGAAGGCCTACATGTTAAGCCAACATTCTCAAAGTCAAACCATGCTTCCATTCATCACTTAAAGCATTCCCTGCTTGGCCCAGTCTTGCCCCAGTCAGCTCTCAGTCAAGGGTCGCAAACCATGAGATCGCCTTTCAAACGCTCCATCTGAAAGAAACCAAAGCGGCCCACCACATAGCCCACCATCAGGTTCACGAAGTGGTACAAGGAGAACCTCAAGGCCAACAACGGGCTTCGGCACCGGCACCGACACGTCCCATCCACTTAAGAATGCGAAAGACATGTCAAAAGTTAAAACTCAACAGAGATATATGCATACCCTTTCTGCGTTCTAGTTCGGATGCGTATCTGTGGGTTTGCTCTTCGAGGCTGGCCTTTCTTCATTTCAGCTTGATACGTCTATCAAATGACTGAAGTTGTACTTCTTGAAGGGGGTCAACCTGCCAAAGTTCGTTCCAATGTACTTTTGCCAACGAATTAGCACACAGTAAGCCATCCCTTCTCACTTTCGACCGAACCACTCACTCAGCACGTCTCGCTCAGCTTAGTGGCCCCAAGCCAATTCCGAGGAGCTTCACAAGGGGCAAGACCAAATAGTTGGACAAGGCCTGGATCGGGTCCCACCGGGTCCGGGTCCCCGGTTTGGTCGAGTGCTGAAAAGCCGTCGGATGGCACACTAAGCAGTCGGATGTGCCATCCGAGAACCTGAACATGAAGGTGATGCTGCAGAGATTACAAAGAACTATTCGCATGTCCGTGTTGGGTGGCAATCAAAGATACCAGCAGAAAAAATGCAACATAGGTATGTAATGTATGTGAAGAAACAAGAGCCTCATCTCAAACCGTTTGAGAATTCTCGAGATGTGTCACATCCAGTGCGTACTGCGTACGTTCGACATCCTGAGTCTCATGGCCCAAAGTGCACCACCAAAGACGATCAGAAGGCACTCATTGTCCTGGAAGACAATCAGAGGATATCAGAAGGTACAGAAACAAGACGTGCTGGTCGAATGACACATCCTGATCTCCTTAAAGTACTTAGGTTGCAACTTACCGTACCAAGCACGGTCAGTGTGTCTTTGTGCTACTGCACTGTTCACTTCTTCAGAGCAGAAGTGTAGATCTGTACAGTTCTCCAAGACTTTACAAATACCTTTGCTAAACGGGGGTCGAGGGTCAGCTGGTCCAAGGTATATCTGTTGATAAAACATAATGTTGCAAAAAAATTGCTCAAAGAAGGAGACAATCAAAACTGCCCTTTGACAGGACCAGGTGACCCATGAAGTCTCACTCCTAGATCCCTGCAATGTCACTGACCAGCTCGACCCCCGGTCGAGAAGCCTCAAAAATGCGGCCACCGAGGCTCCGCAGCACCGGCTGGCTGCTCAGAGGTAGCAATCTCTTTGGTCCCGGTGGAGGCCGTCATAAACGTTGCCCAACACAAAGCCAGTGGAGCTATTCCGAGGCACATCACTCCACAGCCTCACCACCTCCAACGGACATCTAGTTCCCAGTTCGGCATGCTCTCTGCTCAACTGGTATTGATTTAGGTCATCTCACCCCTTCTGGTGACTCTGGTGCTTCTGAACACCCAATTTAGGACAATGAATGTTGCTGTACCAAAGGGAAAACCTGGACCACCAACAATTGGGAAATCATGGGAAATCAATCAGCCCTCCCTTCGGCTGGTTACAAGAACGTCCTCTCGAACTTATCACCAAGGATTCTGGAAAACGTTCTTTGATATGACTACGCCAGGTACCTCTCTTCGAAGACAGTCTTCCTCCATGTGCGCGATGTTCACACGCACGGCAATAATTTGTCCATCTTCCAGAAATAGCATCGGCGCTCGGTATTTGGTAAAGTCAATCAAACGCCCAGCATGGACTTCATGCGTCCAGAACTTGCCCATTGGTGAATTTTCTGGCAGTGGAATGAAGTTTGACAAGCGGGCCTCAGTTGCTCTCCTCAACGCGATTCTCAACAATTGCAAACTTGCATAACAGTGCTTATTATCGAGGTCTAACCCTTTCTAATCCCAACATCAGGTGTCTTCGCTGCTAGCCTGATATAGCCTGGGTCATCACGTCGCTACCTCAACTGACGAGGTCTGCGACCGCTGGATGGGACCTTCGGATCGGATCGAAAGCACCTCCCGCACGGATCGGCTTGCAGAGCCCGAGCGCGGATCACGAAGCATGAGGAAGAGAGGATAGGAAAGACAATGGCCCAAAAAGAAGTTAAGAGATGCCAGAATCTACATACGTAGAATCTAGACACAGGCCGTTGATGGCCTTTCTTTTGGGACCCATGAATGAACACCAGTTTCGAGTCTGCCACCCAGGTGCGGAAACCAGAGTCACATCCTCAGGAACCATCTCGGCGATTTTCTTCAACATCTCGAAGCCGGGGTTGCTAAACATGGACCAGGGGCACTGCAGGTACAGCAATACACGACGAAGCTTTGGCGTGCTGTGATGTTCCGGGAACCAGTCGGAGACATTCACACGGCGGTCCTCCAGGATTTGCCAGAAGGCTCATTGATGAGATTGAGGGTCAAATGCAAATATTCATATGTTTTCGAAACTTTGGGCTGAAACCCACACTAAACTGTATCATCCAACAAGTAATCAGAAAAAAAATGGCGTCATGTGAGCAACCTTCAAAATGAACGTTCCAAATTTAGCCGCTGCCGCTTGAGGCTTAGTTTATGGGTTTCCGGTCTCGTTGTCCCAGGATTTGCACCAGTTTAGTTACTATGCTCTGTTTCTTCACAAGGTGACTTAGATTACCACTATACTTTTCAGCCTGACGCACAGCACCACAAGTGCTCGGCACAATCGATTCTGATCTCTTGTCCAGGGTATTTGGTCCGATGTCTATGTACTTGCCATTCTACACCCTCAATACCCTGAAGACAAGACAATTGAAAAGGAGTCCCAGGAGGGGGGCTTTGTTTTTGGGTTTCCGGCGTTGTTTTCCAAGCCATGTGCAAATGTTCATTCCAAAGTGTCCACTTTATGTAACCACTTACCGGTAAGATTTTGTGGCTCGTGTGTGTCTCACATTACCAACGGCCAAGGGCTTTTGTGGTTGCAAAAAATATGATATGCACAACCTATTGTATTATAGATATGTATACAGAGAGAGAAAGAGAGAGAGAGAGAGAGAGAGAGACAGACAGACCCAGACAGACCCAGACAGACCCAGACAGAACCAGACAGAACCAGACAGAACCAGACAGAACCAGACA